GCGCAGTGGTTAAGAATCCGCCTGCCAATGCAGGGGACACGGGTTCGAGCCCTGGTCTGGGAATATCCCACATGCCGTAGAGCAACTAGGCCCATGTGCCACAACTAGTGGGGCCCACGTGCCTAGAGCCCGTGCTCCTCAACAAGAGAAGCCACTGCAGTGAGAAACCCACTCGCTACAACTAGAGAAAGCCCACGCACAGCAACAAAGACCCAATACAGCCAAAAATAAAATAAATTTTAAAAAAATTAATAAATTTAATAATCCCTCTACATTCAATATCTTGTAGTAACCTATAATGAAAAAGAATATATGTGTATGTATAACTGAATCACTTTGTTGTACACCAGAATCTAACACAACATGGTAAATCAACTACACTTCAATTTTTAAAAAAATAGCCCTCAAATATTTCTTTAGCACCTACTGTGTGTCGACAGTCGACTAGGCCCTGTGGACAACACAGGTACACACTTGCCCTCATAGGGTTTCCAATCCAATGGTCTGTAAACAGATTCCTGAAACAGCTGGTAAAGCATCCTTGGGAAGGCAACCAGCTGCTCAGCATTCTTTGAAAGTAAATAAAAATAATCAGATACCATTTACTGAGTGTCTACTGTGTCTGGGCTCTGTACCAGACACTTTACAACCTTCACATTATCTCATGTTACTCTAGGAGGTAGGGCAGAGGCAGAGACTAACCCACATGCTGACCACCCAGTTAGACCATGGCTGGAGTGAATGGGAACTGTACAACTGCAGAACTGGAGGACATCACCCATCACCATTTTATGCACTGGGGTTTGATTTGACGGCCGTGACTAGGTACTGGCCCTGTCTCCCTACGCCCTGTGCAACGTTCAAGAACAGGTCAAAAATTCCAAGTAGGGAAGGATCATTCTTCAGTCGAGGATCCACAAATTTTCCACTAATTACAATAAATAATGGTTTTAAACCAAATAGAGGGGAATTCCCCAGGGTCCAGTGGTTAGGACACTGCAGTGGAGGGCCTGGGTTCAATCCCTGGTTGGGGAACTAAGATCCCACAAGCCACGGCGCTGCCCCCAAAATAAAAATCAATAAGTAAACAAACCAAATAGAAATAATAGAACTGGAAGCAGTATCAAAAGGCCATTTGTGGGACTTCCCTGGTGGCCCAGTGGTTAAGACTGCACACTTCCAGTGCAGGGGGTGTGGGTTCGATCCCTGGTCAGGGAACTAGGTCCCGCATGCATGCCGCAACTAAGACCCAGCACAGCCAAATAAATAAATATTAAAAAAAAAAAAAAGGCCGTTTGTCTTTCGGCCCACTTATACCCAAAGCATCCAAGATGTCACGAAGTGATTTGTGGAGTTCCGTCACAAGATGGTAGAAAAAGTGACCTAACTTAAACTCTCCTCCATCCCCATCCAGATTCAGCATAACATTACTGCATGGAGGTTTTTAACAGATGTGTGGGCAAGCTCATTTTTACTCCCTGTTAAGCATATAGGTCCCCCATTGGCTCCCCCAAGTTAAACCTGAATCTGTAGTCACCACAGTCTGTAATGGGCACATTAAGTTTACCGCAGGGACCAAGGTAGGAAGGTAGGAGTGGAGAGAATGGGCAGATCACCCGCTGCTGGTGCGTCGTGTGAGAGCCCTGCTAAAAGTCCTTCCAGCATAGCTTCAAGACGTGTTGATAAAAATTTAAGCAGAGATATTGTTAGGAAAGAATAGAACTCTATTGCAATCAGGTACACGGACATCACACCAAGAGATAAAATACACAACCCTTGACGAGGAGTCAAATTAGAATGATTGTGAAGTACAGCTTTTTCATTTATGTATGTTTTTTTCTATCATTTCACTTCATTCCTTTAAAAAAAAAGTCAGATGTTACACAAACTTTAATATTAATCTAGCTTTGGCAGAGATGTGGCGGTTCTGTGGATTTGAGAGTTTAGCTTTTTAGCTCCAGAGAGCGATATTTCTTCTTTCTGTCCATAATGAGATAACCTGCTTCTACCCATTACCAGGGCACTAAATTTGAAATTCGCCATACACCTGAGTAGGCTCCTACATATCTGGCCATCTTAATTTTAGTCTGGATTTATTGCAGCTGAATTACATTCCCAACTCTTCCTGGAGCTCTGGGTGAATTTTATTGAAAAAGCAGTGGGGAGAAATTTGCTATCATATATCGCTCTTGCTGGCCAGAGCTTTTCGATACACAAGGGGCTCTATCTGCTCCATGTCTTGTATGCTGGATTTATAACACTGAAGCCCAGCTCTAGGGTTACATACAGGCATATCAGAGATGAGATGGGGAATTTGATTTTGTAATAATGATTACTTGTTGCTGGAGCCCATATTCCTGCAGGCTCTTCCTTTATTCTCCCTGCCGCCGATGAATAAAACTAATTCCAACTGCTACCTTATCTAGCAAAACTCATCTTTCACTTACGAGAGAGGCCAAAAGAAGGGAGACAGGAAGTCAGGAGAATTTGAAATGCTGGCCATTTTTGCTATTATGTCTCAAGGGTTTCTTCTTCCATTATCGTGATTCCTTCAGGAATATTTTCATCTTTTAAACTTTCGTTTCTTTGTGGGGAGAATGAAAGCGTCACATGTCTTCCAGCCTGGCGAGTTCATTTGATGGCTCATCTGTGCTGTCTGTTCCACTTCAGAGAGGCTGGGTCCCTAGGGCTAGCCAGTTGTATTAGAGATCCTGCGGACTTGGCTTGCCATTTCTGCTAAGGGTCATCGGTCCTCGCGGTCTTGCCATGGATAATTTTTGCCTTCCCGAACATCATCTGCTTGAGAAATTTGTGCCTGGCAGGCCTGTCTGTCCAAGTTAAGCTTGAAATACAGTAGCCACACAACTAACCTGACAAAGCATCGCTCTACACAGCAAGGCCCCAGGCCTGCTTTGACCAAGACCACAAACTTCCAGCCATCTGATTACAAATTCCAGAGTTTCTTTGGTGCAGTCCATGAACCAGTCTGTTCATGCAACGTGGGTTATCCTTCCTCCACTGCCCCAGTTTTCCCAATCTCCTGCAACACACACACACACACACACACACACACACACAGATACACACACACCCTTATCTTAAAAACCCTTAGAAATGCTTCACCCTCTGATTGACCTTACCAGTTCCTGACTGTTCGGCACTTGACTTGAACCCTGAGACTTAGATGAAAGAAATGTAGAGCTGACTGTCATTGTCTGAAGTTTGAGGCATGTGTGACAGACATTACATGAAAGCAGTGGTTCTCAGACTTGAGCATGAGTGGTAATCACCTGAGGCTTCTCAAAACAGAGATTGCTGGGTCCCCGTTGGAGTTTCTGATTCAAGAGGTCTGGTGTGGTGACCCCACCATGAGAACCGTTATACTACACCTGTCCGAAGCTTGGGTGACGATCAGACACAGAGCAGCTGCGCTCATCCAAAAACTCTTGCTCCTGTCTTTTTGCGTAGCTAAGTCCAGTTTTCTGGAGGTGGGCCTCGCCTGGTGATGGAGCATCCTGAGTTCTGATTGGTTGGCTCTGTCCCAGGAGTTTCTCTCTGTAGCAGCTCTCGCGGGAAAGCACTGCATGTTCTCCAAGTGATGGAGCTACACTGGAAGCAGCTCTAAGAAGCATCAAGCAGGATTCAGTCCAAGAAGGATCAGTCCAGGACTGTAAAGTCGTTGCCTAGTCTCTGCCAATGCCAATACCCAGCGCGTTATTTCATACCACACAGCCTCTGGGCTTAGCATGCCAGAGGCATTTCCAAAACTTCATATGATTAACACACAGTAATATTGAGTATTTTACCCCAAAAAACTGTCTAATCTTTTCCCCTCCTTTATTTTCATCAGTTTCTTCCATTTTTAATTTTTTAACCCACTTCAAAAATAGGTTAGACAGGGCTTCCCTGGTGGGGCAGTGGTTGAGAGTCTGCCTGCCGATGCAGGGGACACGGGTTCGTGCCCTGGTCCGGGAAGATCCCACATGCCGCGGAGCGGCTGGGCCCGTGAGCCATGGCCGCTGAGCCTGTGAGTCCGGAGCCTGTGCTCCGCAACGGGAGAGGCCACAACAGTGAGAGGCCCGCGAACCGCAAAAAAAAAAAAAAAAAAAAAAATAGGTTAGACAAAAAAGGATAAACAGTAACGCCAATAGAAAATATTCAGAGGAAATCTCATGAAGTGGATTTGATAAAAAGCAAAATAAATTTAGGAGCGCACTCCCTCAGCTATGCTTATCCTTCATGGGCTTATACTAAGAAATGAGTTTTAATTTTGTTCTCAAGAGGCATGTAATTAAATACACATTTTATTTTTATTTTCTAACTTTTATAAGGTTCAATAAGGAGTTAGCAAATAATTTACCCTGAAGTCAGAAATTTACGTCTTCTAAATTAGCATTATTTCCATGTTTTAGATGCCTTAACTCTCAAGAAGCACAATAATTGGCAAAATCCCTTTACCGTTCCATGGTTTAGAAGTGTCTGATACTGAGAGTCTCTAAAAAGGGATCAAGCATAGAGCGCTGTGCAGGGGAGAAGAGCTACTCTTAAGACAGGAGAAGTGCTTTGTGTATGATCCCATTTAGGTGATGTTTTTGAAATGACAACGATTTAGAAATGGAGGGTACATCATAGGTTGCCAGGGGATGGCGTAGGGCAGGGAGGAATGTAAGTGTGGGTACAAAAAGGTGCCAAGGGGGATCTTTGTGGCTCTGGAGCTGTGCAATATCTTGACTGTGCTGACAGGTACCTAAACCCACACATGTGATAAAATTATATAGGACATAATACACACACACAATGAGTACAGGTAAAACTAGGGAAATCTAAATAAGATTGATGGACTGTATCAATGTCAATATCTTGGTTATGATATTCACATTTACAAAATGTTACCAGTGGAGGGAAATCAGGCAAAGTGTATGACGAATCTCTGTATTATGTCTTACAACTGTATGAGAATCTACAATTATCTCAATAAAAGTTTTATTTAAATAATACAGGAAACGTCTTATCAATCCAGAGACAACTAGAGATAACACAAGCCCTTCAGGGAGATTCCACGGGTCAAAGAGCAAGGACACAGAGCAGCCCGGACCCCAGCCCAAGGTATCTGTCAGGAGGGCTCTGCCACTGGAACTTTTCTTTCAGTTGCTCTTTGCTGTCTGAGCTGCAGTTGAAAGATTTGTGTAAAAGAGGAGAAAGAAACAGAGGTGTACTCTGGACCTGACCATCCCAGAGAACAACGCAACACAGTACTGGGCGGAAGAAAACAATCAAACAGCTGGAACGTGTATCTACAGGCTGTAAGCAACAGAATTGCAGGAAAGTCATTGCATAGGGATTTAATATTGTCCCCTCTGGTAGATGTCGCCTCCGTGAGGGGAGGAAAAGGCTGGGTCAGCGCTATATCCCAGCCCTTAGCACTGTGCTGGGCACACGGAAAGTGCTCAATCCATATTTGTTAAACGTGTTTGAATGAGGAAATGAAAAGGCCAGTTAGAGGTAGTATGGCTTCCCTCTTCCTTCTCTCCAGATCACCCTCCCCTACTTTCTCTTTATCCACCACCTACACTTAAACACGTACGCAGGGACCAGGTTGTTTCTGCCCCAAACCAGCTGGGCATTTAGCCTCTCTATGCCTCAGCCTCGTCACCTGTCAAATGAGGAGAATAATAATGCTACCAACTTCAGAGGACTGCCATGAGCCCTAGCTGGGTCAGCACGTACAGAGCACTTACAACATTAGCTGGCCTGTCATAAGTGCCACGTAAGTGTTTGTTCAATTGCAGCAAGTTCTGACACTGACTCCCGGAGTTAGCCCAGACCTCATAGACTCCAGAAGGCTCCACAGCTCTGGCGGTTCCCAGGCCACCTGAGCTTCTGGCCAGCTGTCTACAAATGTCAGGAGGTCTCACTTTACCCTTTCAGGTTCAATAATTCACTAGAATGACTCACAGAGCTAAGGAAAGTGCTGTGCTTATGATTACAATTTTATTGTAAATGATACAAGTCAAGACCAGCCTAATGAATAGATGCGTAGGGTGAGGTCTGGGAGGGTCCCAAACGCTAAGCTTCTGGGTCCTCATGTTTGCCTCACCCTCTTGGCACATTGAAGTATGGCTACCAACCGGGAAGGTCACCCGGGCTGTCCGGAAGGTTTTTACTGGGGTTGCACTGTGAAGACATGGTTGATGTATCATTGCCTGAATGACTGAACTCAATCCCCAGCCCGCTCTCCTCGCCAGAAGTCAAGCTGATATTACATGGCTCAAAGCCTCAACCCTTTAATCACGTGGTGGTCTTTCATGCATGGCCAGCCCCCATCCTGGAACCATCCAGGGACCCACGTGAGTGAGCGCTTTAGCATAACTTCCGGCCCACCAAGAATAACAAAGCCACTCCCCTCACTTGGGAAATTCCAAGGATTTAGAGGTTATCTTCCAGGAACCAGGGATACGGATCAGCCAAGTTCTTTATTATACAACAAAAATAAAGTAGATTCAATTCATTGAACAGGCAGAAGGGGCAAGGAAAACATTCCAGGAAGTGGGTGTCTAAAAAGGAAGAGGCAGGGCTTCCCTGGTGGCGCAGTGATTGAAAGTCCGCCTGCCGATGCAGGGGACAAGGGTTCGTGCCCGGGTCCGGGAAGATCCCACATGCCGCGGAGCGGCTGGGCCCGTGAGCCATGGCCGCTGAGCCTGCGCGTCCAGAGGCTGTGCTCCGCAACGCGAGAGGCCACAACGGTGAGAGGCCCAAGTCCCGCAAAAAAAAAAAAGAAAGAGGCAGAAATAATGTCTGGCACAGTCATGACACAGTGGAGAGACCACATCGCCACCCCACCCCACCCCCAGCTGATGGAGCTCTGCTGTTTTAGAAGCACCAGCCTTGAAGTCCATAGACCAGGGCTCTGACCATGGTTCTGCTATTTGATAACTATGGTACCATGTTGTGGGAGTACATTTACAGATCATTGTAAGCCATGTGAAATCCTTTCTATAAGAGGATATAAGAAATCCTCTATAAGAGGATTTCTATAATTCACACACACACACCTACCTTAGTGGATTAAAACAACAAAAATTTATTATTTCTCATAGTGAAAATGCACAATTCAGATTGGGACGTGGAACCCACTGTCTTTTTTTTTTGTGTGTGTGGTACGCGGGCCTCTCACTGTTGTGGCCTCTCCCGTTGCGGAGCACAGGCTCCGGACGCGCAGGCTCAGCGGCCATGGCTCACGGGACCCAGCCGCTCCGCAGTACCTGGGATCCTCCCGGACCGGGTCACGAACCCGCATCCTCTGCGTGGGCCGGCGGACTCTAAACCACTGCGCCACCGGGGACGCCCGAACCCACTGTCTTTTAATTGAAATCACACACCTGGTCTCAGGACTTAATGAAGCTCAGGTTCTTTATGTCTCAGCATAGAAAGAATTCAGTGAGAGACAAAGTGATAGGTAAGAAATGAATTTATTTAGTGAGATACACATTCCATAGAATGCGGGCTGTCTCAAACGGCTAGAGTGGCCCTGGGAGAAACACATTTCACAGACAGTGTGGGCCATCTCAGAAGTCGAGAGGCCCCAAAATATGGGGTAGTTAGTTTTTATGGGCTGGGTAATTTCATAGGCTAATGAGTGGGAGGACTATTCCAACTATTTTGGGGAAGGGGCGGGGATTTCCAGGACTTGGGCCACCGCCCACTTTTTGGTCTTTTATAGTCAGCCTCAGAACTGTCATGGCGCTGGTGCGTGTGTCATTTAGCTGATGTATTACAATGAGCGTATAATGAGACTCAAGGTCCCCTGGAAGTCGAATCTTCCGCCATCTTTGACCTAATGGTTTCTAGCCAGTTTTCGTCATATCCTCAGTGGCTATGTCATTCTTTTTTTTTTTTTTGCGGTACGCAGTCCTCTCACTGTTGTGGCCTCTCTTGTTGCGGAGCACAGGCTCCGGACACGCAGGCTCAGCGGCCATAGCTCTCGGGCCCAGCCGCTCCGCGGCATATGGGATCTTCCCGGACCAAGGCAGGAACCCATGTCCCCTGCATCGGCAGGCGGACTCTCAACCACTGCGCCACCAGGGAAGCCTTATGTCCTTCTTTTAGAGGTTGTGCCCTAACCCCTTCCCTCCTGTTTCCATAACACTGTGGGTTGATTAGGCAGTTTTCTGGCTTCATGTGGTGGTATCCACTCCACTGCAGTTCATGGGACTGCGTTCAGCTGGCTGATGGCTGGGCTGAAAGACCCAAGAAGGCCTCCCTCACACTTGGCTGCTACGGGGCCTCCGTTCTCACCTATAAAGCCTCTCTACAGGGGATGTCTCATCTTCCCGTGCTTCTCCACAGCACGGCCTCTCCCCAGCAGGACAGCCTAGACTTCCTGACAGGAGCAAAAGCAGAAACTGCCAGGTGACTTAAGGCCCACCATGTTCTACCCATCAAAGCAAGTCACAAGGTCAGTTCAGACTCCAGGGGAGGGGAAACAAACTCCGTCTCTTGATGGGCAGCAAGGGAGGAAACATGGCAGCCATCTTAGAGACTCTCCCACATTCTCTGATCTTCAGCTTCTGTATCTGAAAATGGGTATTTTAATATTTATCCTAACTAGAATAATGAGAAGATGGTATGTTATGTGTGATGACATTTTATAAATTGTAAAGCGCCAAACACGTGCAAGACATTATAGTGGTGGCAAATAAAGGTGAATTGGGAGAAAGAGCAGATTATACAGGGCTTTAAAAGGAGATAGAGGAGGTTATTGAAATAGTATTTATTGAGCATTTGCTGTGCCAAGCACTGTTCTAAGTACTTTACAGGTATTAACTTCTTTAATCATCACTTTATAATATGGATATCTTATTGCTATTCTGTAGAAAAGGAACATCAGGCAAGTGGCACAGTCAGAATTTGAACCCAGTTCTGTCTGATTCCAAAGTCTTAACTACTGCACCTGGAATTTGTAAGGCCAGCAGGTCCGGGGAAGGGCCCAGGAAGCCAGACGGAACCCCCGCCAAAGTGGCTGATGCAACCGACACCTGACATTGCCACACCACTCGGCCCCGGTCTTCCCGCTCCCCGAGGGGCAGAACCAACGGCTCTGAGGCTGATGCAACCGACACCTGACATTGCCACAACACCCGAGAGATTACCAAAAAAGGGCTGCTTCACACAGCAAGACCTCCCCTGTGTCCACCCCTATACATTTTGTTAGCGCCCGCACCCTGGGCGCGACTTCTCTGGCCCCTTTCTCTCGGACCAGTGAACCTCGCCCTGGAGCGTTCCCAAATAAAGCTTGTTTAAGCTCTCCTCCGTTTTTGGTGCCGTTCCTTACAGAATTCTTATATCATAATCAACTGGCAATTGGGTACGGGGAGGTAGCAGCTACCCCAGAACTACTGAAACAGAATCTGGGGAGGCAGAACCCAGAATCTGCAATTTTAACAGCCATGTTAATGTGGGGGGACTATCAATCTCACTGTACTAGAGGGAGCCTGAAGCCGAATCTGGCTTCTGTACCCCGACACCAAATTAAATCTTGGAGACTGAGTTTTGGGTGAAGTAGAAGAGAATAGCTTTATTGCTTTGCCAGGCAAAGGAGGCCACAGCAGACTCCTGCTCTCAGAACTGTGTTTCCCAATCTAGAGGGGATAGTGAGAAGTTTTATAGTAATGATTCAAAGAGGGCGTGATCAGCTCGTGGACATTCTTCTGATTGGTTGGTGGGGAAGTAAGTGGGAGTCAGCATCGTCAACCTACTGGTTCTAACCGGTCTGGGGTCACCGTGCTTATTATGGTTAATTTCTCCCACCTGGTAGGGGTTTCAGTATCTGAAAATATATTGTTATGTATCCCTGCCCCAAGGCTGCACTATTTTTTTTTTTTTTTTTTTTGGCCACACTGCGTGGCTTGCAGGATCTTAGTTCCCAGACCAGGGGAACCTGGGATTGAACCCCAGGCCACTGAAGTGAAAGCACCGAGTCCTATCCACTGGACCATTAAGGAACTTCTAACACTACTGTTTCTTTTCACTGTTCCTCCCTTGTCTCCGCATCCCCGCCCTTCCCTAATTAGCAACTGTTTGAACCTGCTAGTTGGAACTCCGGGAAGGTCATGGAGGCTGAATGAAGCCTATTTTCTGTAATCGAGTAATGAGGGACACAGAATTTTGTGCCCAGGAGCCCCACAGTGTCCTGTTCAGTATCAAGTCTTCCCAGGTTTTTCAGTAGTTCAAAGAAACTAAGCTTAGAGAAGATTTAGTCTGGCAGATGCAGAAGAAAACTTGAATACGAAAAGTGCCTAGAAGTGGGAGGATAATGAGGGGCTTTAAAAATAATTACGTTTTCTAGAGGTTAATGCCAAAGCGAGGGAAATAAAAGGTTAGAAGCCGGACCCAATAACATGCAATTAACCAAGTTCACATTCTACTTATGAATTCATCTATTTTATGCCTCTTTGTTATTCCTGTGCTAGAAAACCCCAAGTTCCATCTTCACCGCACCCCACATGACTTACACAACATTTCAGGTCTGAAGACAAAATATACCTCCTCTGGGAAGTCGTTCCTGGCCACCTCCTGCCCCCAGGTGTCCCACACATGTGCTGCACTTAACTCCATCCTATCATATACAAGGCCCTAGACTGTAAATGTTGGTGACTGAGAGACCCTTGAGGGTAAAGACAGTGCAGGAAGAGAGGAGGGAGAAGGGAGAGATTAAGAGATGACTCTTAGAAAGAACCGCTGGGTGAACACAGGAGATGAAGGAGTCACTGAAAAGTTGCACCGTCTGTCGTTTGAACAGGCACAAATATTAACGCAAGTTCATGTGCCCGACGAAACGTCCGCGTTTGGAGCAGAGAAAGGTTTATTGCAAGGCCATGCAAGGAGACAAGGTGGCTCATGTCCTAAAAAGCCTCCTGCACTCTGAAGGGTTTCGGCAAAGCATCTTTAAAGGCCAAGGGCAAGGTGGGGGGAGAGGTCTGCAGAATATGCGATCAGATCGTGCACAATACTCTGGCTGTTGATGAAGGAACAGGGTGGTGTCACAGGTGTTAACTTTATCAGTCCTTAGGCTCCGGGAGGCCTGGGGCTACGTGCTCATAGTCATCAAGTAGTTAACATCTTCCATTTGGTGGGGGTGGGTTCACATCTTCGAAACACCTCAGGAAAATTTCATCAATTACTATTATCTAGGTACTTCCGAGAGGAGCTAAAGCAGAGGCTATGGGGGAAGGCCTGTGCCAGGAAGGGAATGACAACTTGTTGAGAATACAAGATCAACTCTAAGGAGTTTACCAAACAGTAGCACTAGATACAAATGTCAGCACCAGATTTGTCTCTTCATGGCTACGAATCAAAGCAGCCTAGCAAATTATGGTCCCTTCCATAATTACATGCATTTATTTTATCTTAGCCCCTATAACAACTGGTTGAGATTTTGTAAATACAAATGCTAAGAACAGACATTTTTGCTCTTTACATGGGCATGAATGAGTCTGAGAGGTGATTTGGGCAAATTAATCTCTAATCCTGTTTCTTCTTTTGTTAGAAAGAAATGACAAAACTGTTTCCCGCAGTTGCCATGATAAGCAAATGTGGCAAAGCACGCACGTCAACAACCTCCATTAAATACTGGTGGCAGGTAATAATATAGATAATGTATTTACACCACTATTATTCATATTCATCTATGACTAGATCCCCTCTCCGCCAACCTCTCTAAACCACGATAAATTCCAGCAGGTTTAGGGAGGAATAAATTTAGCTCTAACTTTCAAACACCTTCCTATTCCGGCAGCATCTGCCCTAACCCAGCATGGCGGCACCGGCTTCTTCAAGCTCACATCCCTGGCTACACCATAGTGGCTTTATAGGAACCGGCCGCTGGGTAGACTCAGCTTCCCCGATGCTCTTTGATGACGCCTAAACCCCGCGCGGGGAAAGCGGACTGTGTAGGTTTGCGCAGGCGCAGCGCGGCCGCGGGTGGGCGGAGCTGGCCGGGATGAGCGGCGGAGGGACGGAGACCCCCGTGGTTTGTGAGGCCGCCTCGGGCGGCGGCGGCGTCAGCGGCAAGAAGAAGGACTCGCTGGGGACCGCGGGCTCGCCAGCCCACCTCATTATCAAGGGTACGGAGTACTAGGGTTCTCGGCCCGGTAGTCCCAGCGCAGCCCCACCTCCCAGGCAGCGTCCTCTGACCCGGGGCCGAGCCCCAGGTCGACCCCCGGCTCCCGGGCAGCCTGGCGTTTGCGGTGGGTGGGTGGGGGAGGGGTCTGCGCATTGGCGCCTGTTTCCCCGCGCCAGGTGCCTCCCAGTAACAGCAAATCGCCCTAGCCCCTCCTGCTTCCTCGTAGAAGCCGCTGCCGAGAGCCGTCGGGCTGCCCTCTCCCCTCCCCCAGCCCGGGACCCTGCGTGGAGCTGCCGTAGACGCGGGCTCGCGACCCACGTGTGATGCCCTGAGCTTGGGAGTCGGGAAGAGCCCGCGCACCCAGGCAGGCCGCTTAGGAGGTGTGTGCCTAGGTCGTTCGCTCTGACCCTGTCTGCTCCTGGGTCGTGCAAGGTGGAAACGAGAGAACATGAAGGCATCTTAAAACACGAAAGGCCCCCAACACGTGTACCGATGTCCACTCGTCCCGTCTGCTTTGAGCTGGGAGAAGGTTACAACCTAGTTACAGCCCTTATTCTCACAGAACCTGAAATGGTTTGATTCTCCAAACTCTCAACAACTGTTTCGTGCAGGAAGATCTTTGCCAGTTAAATACCGCACCGCCTCATCTCCGTCCTCTCTTAACCCCTCGCTTCTGTCGGCAGCCCTACCGTCTTGCAGTGTTGAAGCCCTTGTAGGATTCCGGCGCCCCTCAGCGCTGCCCAGGGAATGGCATCCTCGTGTTCATGCCTATTGTATTTTAACCGTATCTGTCAGGTTTGTGTAGAATTCAGGGTGTCTCACATCTAGTTAGTAGTGTGGGCGTAGTGCATGGGTGTTAGCCCTTAATTATAATTGTTTATATGTGCAATCTTAGTGAACTATTACTTAAATTTTTTTTTAATTACGGTAAAATACATGGAATATAAAGTTTCCCTTAATCATATTTTAGCGTACAATTCAGTGGCATTGGTACGTTTCACGTTGTTGTGAAACCGTCACCACCATCCAGCTCCATAACTATTTCATCTTCCCAGACTGAAGCTGTGTACCCATTGAACACGGACTCCCCAGTCTCCCCTTTCCCCTGCCCCAGCCCCTGGCAGCCACCATTTTGCTTTCTGTTTCTGAATGTGGCTACTTTAGGTACTTCATATAAGTAAAATCGTGCATGTGGCAGAATTTCCTTCCTTTTTAAAGCTGAATATGATTCAAATATTTCATTGTATACACACACACACACACACACACACACATTTTGGGTATACATTCACCCATGGATGGACACTTGGATTACTTCCCATTTTTGGCCCTTGTGAGCATGGATGTACAAATATCGAGTTCTTGCTTTCATTTGTTTTGGATACGTACCCACAGCTGAATTGCTGGATCAAATGATAAATCTGTTTGTAACTTTGTGAGCAGCCGCTCTACTGTTTTCCGTAGTGGCTGAACCGTTTTACATTCTCACCAACAGTTCACAGGTGTTCCCATTTCTCCACAACCTAAACAATACTTGTTATTTTCTGTTTCTTTGGTAGTGGCCTTTCTAATGGGTGTGAGGTAGTATCTTGTAGTTTTTTTTTTTTTTTTAATATTTATTTATTTATTTTGGCTGCGCCAGGTCTTAGTTGCGGCACATGGGATCTAGTTCCCTGACCAGGGATCGAACCCGGGCCCCCTGCCCTGGGAGCTCGGTGTCTTACCCACTGGACCCCCAGGGAAGTCCCAGTAACTTGTAGTTTTGATTTGCATTTCCCTAAGGTTAATGATGTTGAACATCTTTTTATGTGCCTACTAGACGTTTGTAAATCTTATTTGGAGGAATGTCTATTCAGGTCCTTTGCCCATTTTTAAATCAGGTAGTGTGTTTTGTTGTTGTTGAATTATAGCAGGTCTTTTTCTATTCTGGATATTAGCCACTTTACAGCCATGATTTGCATATATTTTCTCCCATTCCATGGGTTGCCTTTTTACTCTATTGATTTTGTCCTTTGATGCACAGAAGTTTGTGATTTTGATGTAGTACTTTTTTTTTTATTGAAGTACGGTTGATTTACAATATATTAGTTTCAGATGTAGTACTTTCTTTAAAAGAAGGTAATTCAAAGGAAGTTTTTCAGGTTAATTCAAAATTGAGTTATAATTGAAAATATGTCTAGAACCTCCTTGGGTTTTTTTGTGGAACGATTTACTATTTTCAGTATGAAAATCTGTTTTTAGTTCATCTTACTTGAAGACTATCGATTGTGAAAATATACGTGTCGAGTTTTATTGCCAGGGTCTAGGGAGAGGGAAATATATAAATAAATGATTTCAATACTTAGGCCCCAGGTCTTTGAGGTTTTCTGGGCTGTGGTTGGCTGTTAGGAGACGGGGAGCTTCCCGGGGCATGGAGTGTCTGACCTGAGTCTTGAAGAATAAAGGGTTAGTAGTTGAGAAAAGCGGGCAAGGATATTTTGGACTTAGTTTGGAAGAGCATGAGCAAAGGTGTGGAGGCCTGAGTCAGCACGGCATGTTTGGGAAACTACACGTGGGAATCAGACCGAAGAAGAATTCTTGCCTTTTAAGGAGATTGGACTTCTTGTTGAATGTTCCATATTGTTATGGAACAACAATAAGTACAAGAGTCATGTGGTTAGATCTGTGTTTTAAATAGAGCACTCAGGCAGGTACAGTGGGTCCTCATCTTGCAGGGTGCCCATTTGTGAACTTGCCTACTTTATAAAGTGAATTTGTAACTGCAGAATCAGAGAATACAAAGGGCCTACTGTCCTGCAGATAAGCAGAATTGACTGTACATGGAGTGGGTTGAAGAGGGGTGTGACTCACTCTGTTGAAACAGTCCAAGACAAGCAAGGATGGAACAGAAGGGATGGATTTGAGAAGCAGTGAGGTGACAATGGTGACGATGTGGGTGTTATCAGAAAAATTTACTCTGCAGTAAATTGTTCCTTATGGGCAAAGAGATCCACATACTACATTAAAGGTCTGCAAATTCAGGGCCAGAACTTCATTAGATAATGAGAGATCTGCAGTTTACTGTGTTTTTTCTTGTCTCATAGTCTGTTGAAGTGCTTATTTCTGTCTTTTGTGTGAAGAGATTGTCTAACTCCCACGTTAGAGTATGCACTTTGGAGAACAAAGGATTATATCTTTTGTCTTGTTAACAAACAACAAAAGAGTGCTTTGCCTGTAGCCCGGCTAGGATTGAGTTTATGTGGAAATATGTGGCTTACCTTTACATTATTAAACTGAGAGAATTTGTTTGTAATCCTTGGGATACCTGCAACTCTGAATTATTATAATGTGTTTGTTTTGTTGTTATAATGTTATTACAAAACCAGCTTAATTTCTGTGGTCGTGTGTGTTTCAGAATCTTTTTTCCCCTCATCTCCACATCTTAAGTTCTGGAGTGCAGTCAGGGTTTCAGAAGTGGTGATTATCCACTTCTGAACAGAATTGAATTCTCCAAAGACTAAGAAAATTCCCATTACATCAGGCCACAGACGCAGGTATCCCAAGATCAATGTAATGGCTTCTCAGTCATATAGAAAAATGTATGTTAACCCTTTGTGGATGATACAAACAATTTGATCTCTTACTCACTGGAGTAGAGAGGAAATTTCAGGACAATATGGTATGTGGTATGAGAGCAGAATATACCTCGGGATGACTCACCAAAAACAGTTAAAATTCAGAACTTTTTTTCCTTAATTATGACTTATAGTGACTTACAATGAACACTCACCACCATATTAATAAACACACATGAAGAGCCCCATCGTGCCCTTTGCTCTCATTGCACGGCCCTCCCTCCTCTAAGGTAACTGCTGTCTTGAATTTGGTGTTTATCGTTCTCGTGCATTTCTTTATAGCTTTATGGCTTCTGTATATGTCCCAACAGGAAGTGATTTTGCATATTTTGAAAGTTTATATAAATGGCTTTATCCTTCTGAAAGTTGCTTTTTTGCTTAACATTTTATTTATGGGATTTTTCCTTGTTAATAAATGTAACCCCACTGTATTCATTTTCACTCACTGATTTGTAATATCCATCCTATGAGTATGTTAAGTCGTTCCCCCTTTTTTTTTTTGACATTATATTCATGCTGTAGTAAACATTATGCATTTCTCTTTCCTTTGTTTAAGAGTTTTTCTAGGGCACATACTTGGGCATGAAATTGCTAGGTATACGTCTTCAACTTTATTAGATATCGCCAAATTGCTCTCAAAAGTACTTTACCAATTTACTGATTGGATAATCCATAGTCTGAACTGGATTTTAACCTTCATACGTTTATGGGGACAGGAAGAGTAAAACAAGCTAGAGATTGTGCCACTTAGCGTGGATTGACCGTGAGTTTCATTTTGTCTTTACAGATCTCGGAGAAATTCATTCAAGGCTGTTAGATCACAGACCAGTTATCCAAGGTGAAACCCGTTATTTTGTGAAAGAATTTGAAGTGAGTATTTGAAACCTATTTTGTAAAAAGACTGCCCTAATTGTTAGTGTGTTAATATACGGAAGGGAAATTCCCTAGTTTTAAAATCTATGATTTCTGTTCATGTGTTCATAAAATGTACAAAGCATTCAGAGGCATTGACATGAATGGAGGGAGCACGAGAGTAGGCAGCAGGTGCCTTGGGCTCCAGTTCTGGTGCCTGCTCTGGGGTGTTTACTGTCTGTTGAACTCAGGTTTTCAGGTATAAAATGAGATATAATGAAAAAAATGATTTTACAGATGAATGGGTCAGTTTTGCAGACCCATTTTCTATATTTTTTTTTTCTCATTTGGGGCAGCAGCATCTACTGAAAGCACTCAAGTTAGAACGTGAGAATCGCCCTTGGCTATTCCCTCCCCTTTAGGTTACATTCAATGATCAAGCCTTCCAAATGCTACCTAACAAATCTCTGTCCATTCTGATTGGTATGCCTGCTTTATCAACCCAGTCAAATCCAGTCTTCACCCTGCTGCCAGAGCGCTCTGACATTAACTTTTTCAAAACCTTTGATATCATTTTCTGTCTACAGGACAAAGCCCAGCATCCTTCTATGACCCGGCTCCTATCTTTCTAGCTTTACCGTCTCCCACCCCACCTCGTGTGCTATGTCCCAACAGTCCTGATGCACTAGCCTGCCATTCTGTTTCGTTTGACTGTGATTTTGCACATGTATAATTGGTTCACTGTGCGTTGAATAGTAACATCCCAAGCTCCTGTTGGGTAGATGGTAAATGACGTTACACAAGCAGTTTTGTGATTTTGTGGAAGTTGGGGTTTTCTTTTTCTTTCTTTTTTGGCCTCGCGGCTTGCAGGATCTTAGTTCCCCGACCCGTGATTGAACCCCCTGGCAGTGAGAGCACCAAGTCCTAACCATTGGACCGTCAGAGAATTCCTGGGGTTTTATTTTCAAATGAGACTCCAACCAAGCAGGAAGTCTAAACCTGCTAAAAGGAGAGAACCTTTCCATAAACACTTTAAAAGTACAGAAAGCCTGTGGTACAGAGCACTCAAAAGAGAAACAGAGCTGCAGCATTAGACACCATTTCTGGGTTCAAGAGACTTAAAATCTGCGTAATATCTGCTTCATGGAGTTATTGTGACGATTAAAGGTGTGTGTATCTTAGAATATTTTCTGGTACCTAGGAATAACTGTTAGTTATCTTTGTCATCATTACTATTGCTGTTGTAGAGTAAGAATAATTATCCCCCACACAGAAAATTAACCATAGACTATTCCCTTATCATGCTATGTAAAGATTATTAACAATTGAATAGTGAGAATAAAGTAGTGGGAATAAAGTCTGGGCACAGCACGCTGGGTACTCTGCTCACGGTCTGACATGGTTAAAATCAAGGAGCTGTCCAGGCGCCATTCTTATTTGGTGTTCAGGGTCCTCTTTCTGACTTGCAGGATTTTGGCAGGACTCAGTTCCTTGCCCAGGTAGACGAAGTTCCCATTTCCTTGCTTGCTGTCGGCCGGGGCCGCTCTCAGCTCCTAGAGGCCACCCATATTCCCTGCCACACGGCCCCTTCCTTCTTCAAAGACATAAGTGAAGTCTGCCTTTCATGCTTTAAACCTCTCTTACCGAGAAGAGTCCCATCCCTGTTAAGGACTCACCTGACGGAGTCAGGCCCTCTAGGGATAATCTCCTTTTCTTAAAGTCAGCTGATTTGGGGCTTTAAGTAAACCTGCAGAATATCTATACAGCAGCACCTCGGTTAGGGTTTGACTGAATAACTGAGAGGTGTGTATATCCTAGGGGTGGTGCTCTCAGGGACCATCTTGAATTCTGCCTTCCATGAGCTCTTATTACTACCTATATTTTCCTTACTTTTTGCTTAGTTATTGCCCGTTGTCCTTCCTAGAATATAGACACTTACCTTTCTTATGCTCTGTTGTGTTCAAAGTGCCTGAAAGAATGTCTTGTGCATTGTAGGGTAGGTACTTAATATGATTCAAAAGCACAATTAACAGAGCTTGGCCTAAGACCTGGCTTTTCCAACATCCTTTCATAAGTCATCTTTTTTTTTTGGCCAATCTGGTTAATTTGAAATGCTAAATAGCTTTTATTTTTAAAAAGTTTGTAAATGTATCTCTAAAGGCCTACTTTATATTAAAAGAAGCATAGAATTTTGGAATTAAGATGGCTTCTCTAATCTAACCCCACCCCCCCCACCCCCCCTTCACTGAGCCCAGAGATGGAAAGAAATGTGTGGAAGGTCACACAGCTGATTAGTGGCTGAGTGCTCATTAGATAATGTAGGTGGTTCCTGTGAAAGGGCTGTACAAGCAAGACTGAGTCTTGAATGGATGATGAAAGAAGTGTTATTTCATTTATGCTGCGGAATATGTTATATTGAAGAGCTCACTCCCTTTTGAAGCCAACACCTCTGTTAACTGGGGCCGAGAGAAGACGGGCATGTGCTTGAGAGGAGAGCAGTTACCTGGGTTCCGCGTTGTTCAGCCCTCCAGGGTCTCTTTGGAGACAGGGCTGTGCTGAAGCATAAAAGAACATGGGCCTTGGAGCTGGACCTGTGACGTATCTGGGCTCAAATCCTGGTATCCCTCTTCCTAGCTGTGATTATTTGCTTTATTAAGGCCTAGTTTCCTCTTTCTTAAAACGGGAACAATAATACATACTGCAGAGTTTTTGTGAGGATTAAGTAATGTATCATTGTTTAAATTCCGTGGTATGTCGATGTTAGGCAGGTGTTGGTAACTGTTATTATTAAGAGAAAGATGGGAGCAAGTAAAATCAAATTAAAATTGTATTCAGAATTCGCAATGCTTTGCGTTTTGGTTCCGTTTTTGATATCTTTAGGGAAAACAGCGATTTGTTAAGCAAGTGGTATAGACATCTCAGGAAAATGTTTACTAAAGAATAAAATTTTCACACTGGGTATGACAGATGTAAGCTTATTATAGAAAGTGAAACAAAATGTCTTCAGCACTTATTTTGTGTGAGACCTCATGTGAGGAACCAGTGCTGTATCCCTGAGTAAGACAGACGGGCCCAGCCTTTATGCAGCAGGGTAGGCTCATGTAGTCACTGAAGAATGGTCTCTGAAGGGCTCAAAAATATTTCATCAGCTGTGTTTGCGCTCTCTCCAGCTAATTGGTCACATGACTCCTCTTCTAGAAAAGTACTTGATGCCGTCCTTTCACGCAGTCACCTCCCCAGTCCGTCTTTTTTAGTGTCTCCTGGAAGCTTTCCTGTATGTCAGGCTCGGGTACCTTTTCTGTCTGTTACACACTAACCTTTCCCCTCAAATTATGAGAGAAAAGCTGAAAGCATTTTAGAGATTTAGATTTGAATAGATATGTGCATGACTTACCATTCTTTTCTATCTTGGCCCAAATAAAAACATCCTCTATTTACTAAAAGTGGTCTTTCCCCAGCGTCACACGGCTGGACCGGAGGAACGGGGAGGCAAGAGCTGTCAGGGCTTCCTACAAGTTTTGTCTTTTTTTTAAAAATTGAAGTACAGTTGATTTACAATGTTTCAGGTGTACAGCAGAGTGATTCAGTTATATATATACACGCATACTCATACATATATATGTATATTCTTTTTTAGATTCTTTTCCATTACAGGTTATTACATGATATTGTATATGGTTCCATGTGCCACACAGTAGGTCCTTAAGTTTTGTCTTCTCTAGGTCACTTAAATGTGGTTCACTTGAAGAAAAACTGGCTAGCATTTAAAAGGAAACTCGTGGGGCTTCCCTGGTGGCGCAGTGGTTGAGAGTCCGCCTGCCGATGCAGGGGACACGGGTTCGTGCCCCGGTCCGGGAAGATCCCACATGCCACGGAGCGGCTGGGCCCGTGAGCCATGGCCGCTGAGCCTGCGCGTCCGGAGCCTGTGCTCCGCAACGGGAGAGGCCACAACAGTGAGAGGCCCGCGTACCGCAAAAAAAAAAAAAAAGGAAACTCGTTTATAGTTTATATATTTTTAAAAGTTAACACACACGGCAACGATAATCCTTTTCTTTATAAAATTTCCTTTCTAAAAGAAGGCAATAAGTGCCACAGGGTGGCAGCATTACTTAAATTATCGACCTTCTATTATAATATTTTAAGCTCTCTTTTTGTGATTGTTAGTATTTCAGGACAGTTGACTCTCCTGCTCCCAACTGCACACAGCTCTTTTATTCCCCCCGATTCCAGTAAATACTATGAACAGAGATCCCGGCAGGGCCCCTCCAGTGAGCCTGTCTGGTTGTGTCAGCGAGTAAAGGCATGATCTTCTGCACTGTTATCTTTCCAGCTGCAGAGACGCTGGGGCCTCTCTCGTGTGGGACAGAGGGGAGGCCGTGCAGGTCAGCGTTTATGAAATGCTTAGGGGCTGTGCAGTCCTGCACGAACTCATCTTCAGCAAACTTCAGTCTCTGACTGCTTTATTGACTGGTTCCTGAATACCTTGGTGTATCATAAGGAAGGTGTTTGGTCACTAGTGACAGACACCTGAGGAGAGTGGCTTTCCTAAGTGCTTACTTTCCTCTCATGGCAGCCAGAGCCTGGGGCAGGTGTGGCAGCCCTAGGACGTCAGCTCTTCCTCCAGCTTTTCCTTCTTCCTCACTGCCGTGGTGCCCTCACCCCAGGCTCACGCTCACAGGGTAGCTGTGGGAGCCCAGCCATGGCGTGTGCACTTCATGCAGCAGAAAGGACGGCAGGGGGGGCAACGGCTAGCTGTGTCTGTTACGCCAGGTTTACCACCACGTGGTATTTGGGTGTGGAGAGGAGGGGGATGGATCCAGAGCTGTCTGTCACACCGGATACGCAAAAATAGATACGAAACAGTCTCTACCTTCAGGAATTTACAGTCTGCGGAGAACAAATTGTAATGGTGAAATTATTATGATAAAATAAGCACAAAGTGATTGAAATCTCAGAAGCGGAGATAACTCCCAGCTGAGCTGGGAGGGAAATCTTCAGAAGCGGGGCTGTTACTTGAA